TATTTAATTTGATTTCTATTTACTACGATCTTAACCGAAACGATAATATTAACTAAAACTAAATCAACTACAATGCAAGTGTGAATTACTAAACTAAATGAAATTGATGGTTGAATACAAATTTTATATAATTTATGAAAGAAGGACGCACTAGGATCCTAAATCCCCGAGTAATAATTATTTCTAACCCTAATTTTATAATTTGACAACACGAATCCAATTATGACGAATCAGTGTTCATATCCTATCCAACAATCTGTCTCGAGTAATGTTGGACCTACCCTTGCATACGACCTGACTATATCTCTATAACAGATGCGAATAAACAAGAATGTATGCAATTTTATGAACACTCAGAGATTTACATAAGGCATAGAGGTATATTTCTATTCTCTATCAAACTTTATGATGATTTATATATGTCGAATTTATTTCTATTCTCTCGAATGCTTGAAACAAATCACCAAACTCACATAATTATGGTGCACTCTAATCATGGAGGCAATTAATTCATATAAATCATTATATAATTAAAAAACTTGTTTTTGCGTCAAATATATAAAACTAAATATCAAAACAGCAAATTACAAGGTTCATCGTTCACATAGCACTGATTAACATAGCCTAGCATAGTAGAAAGAAGAAAACGAATCAAGAAACGACATCACCCAATTAATTATGGATTTGAATCTTCACGCATTGGGGATGAATTTTGTGTTTTTTTGCTCCATTCGATGCTCTCCAATCTCAAAAATTTCGTCCTCTAGGTCTCCTTCGAGTTTTTGGACGGCTTTGTAGTTTATATAGATGTCCAGAGATTGATTTTCATAAGAGTTGGAACGAAATAAGGAAACCAGCATTTTCGCGCCCAGATTGAACCATGCGACTGCATCGTATAAACCCATGCGACAGCATGGTTATACAAAATTNGAGGATGGCTTAAGAGTTTATATAGTTGCCAAAAGATTGGTTTCCATAAGAGTTGGAACGAAATAAGGAAACCAGAAATTCGTGCCCAGAAAAACACTATGCGACCGCATAGTTATGTTGAATGCGATCGCATAGAACAATAAATTTTCCCCTGAAATTCTCTAAAGCCTTTTATGCGACGGCATATTTATAATTTTTTTTCGTCAAACTGTTTTTCAGTATTTTTATTTTTCTCTCCCGATATCGGATTAAGGCGATTCAAAATGTGGTGGAAAGCTAACTCAAAGGGCTATAAATCTTCCAGATATATAAGTTTTCAAGTTCGAACATTTTCTATGCTAGAGATGGGTCTCAAATTGAGACTGAAAATTCGAAACATAACTTTTTCGACTAGAAGTTGATATATGATAGTACTTCGACTATATTTCATTCCTTTAGCTTCTTTTCTCATCTAATTGATATTTAACACTCTCAAATTTTCATCGTGAGATAGACACAATTTTTTAGTATTTGCACCCGAGTCCTCAAACTTTGATTTTGCTTCATTTTAGCCATTTTCACTTGTTTTTCCGAACTTTCACCACGTTCATCGTTTTTAGCCTACAAAACACATATTACACAGAATTAAGCCATATTCACATTTACTTTCTACAATAATCCATGTTTTGTGACATATATAAGTATGTAAAAAACGCACTTATGAGTTAACAAAAAATGTTGGAGTTTGGTTGATCAATTACATGCAAGTGTTGAATGTAATATCTTTATGTTGTGTCCCGATTTGAAAATTTTGACTTAATTTAAATTAAAGTCAATAAATCATATATTTTATGGGATCATAACTTTTCAACTACACATTTCATCAATTTTTATCAAAATCTACTAAAAATTGATTTTAATCCTCACTAAACATGGACTGTGTAAAACATTCCTCTATGTGCTCACTCATTGAATTTTGAGCCTATTTGACAACCATTTTGGTAGAAAAATGAGTTTTGAATAGTGATTTTTAAAAGAACGTGTGATTAAAAAGAAGGGAAATTTTTTTGTTATACGTGTAGAATATTTTATCGTATAAATGCGTGGTTAAAAATTATCTCGTAGCAAACCATAAAATAAATTAAAGAGTGTCAAATAAGTACTTTATGTTAACAAAACAGCAGTATCTCATGGATAAATTCCATTCGAGAAAAAGATTTATTTTCATTCAAGCATCTGTACTTCAATTTCGTTTAATCCGATAAGAGCATCTTAATTTAATTCTATTCAAGGCAACTCCATTCTTATAGTAAAAACAAGCATTGGCAACATCAATGGAATTTCAACGATGAGGAGTGCAATGAAGGCAACAAGTTTTTTCACCTTCTTCGGTACATATCTCATTCCTTTACCACCTTATCCCGTTCCCTTTCTGCTACATCAAGCTTAATGATTAAACAATCCACCATCACACTTCTTGTACAAGCATTTATTGATGGGATCTTACCACCCAACACCATCCTAATAGAAACAAAAATTAAGGAAAAATGGTACTAAAATTAATCTCGAAATTCTACAACATGGTCATGATGACATAAATACTCGACTTTTGGTACAGTCACAAAATCACAAGTTTCAGTTGTTTTCAGTTCGAGACAATCACAACGTTATTATCAGCCCACAATGGCGTATAGGAGTCAAAATCGTAAGGTATTCCATCTTCATGTGATGTGAATTTATTGATTTTGCCCTATTTTTTTCTTTCTCGTCGCTATTAAGGGGAAGAACAAGTAAAGGTCGGTTTGGCTCATCCACCGCACATATGTTGTTGGTGTGAAATGCATGGTAGTCCTAGGTGCATGATGCTATTTTGGTGGTTAACTCATCACAATTAATGACATTATCAAGGTTTGGTCGTACTTTGTAATTCCTCAGTCGTTGTCCAAAGGTCCAAATGATTTTGGCTTGGTTCTGGTTGTTTCCTAACTTTGGTTACGAAGCAAAATGGTCCCCCATCATTTTCCCCGCATAGATTAATCCCACACCACACATTTCATCTCTTTTAAGTCTCTCCACTCACATGGTAAAAGGACTTGAAATGACATAAAATAGGACACGTCATTTAAATAGTTTATCGTATAAAACAATTAATTGTCATAATTTTCGGTTCGTTCAATACAAAAATCGTAAACGTGCATCTGCATTTCAATCAAGATCACGTTTGGCATTAAAAAGTTATCTTATACTTGTAGTATGATTGTAATAATTTTTCATCTAAAATTGTCAATAAATATAAAAAGATCTTCCATGTTTGGTTCGTGTGTATAAATTGTACAAATATTCAATCCATTTTTTATTCACACATTTCGAGAGATACTACCTTCGTATAACTACGAATGTCTATCTATTTATAATTTTAACTGTTTATTAAAAAAATTCAAACATGTGGCATTTTGGAGGAATGGTAACACAAACATGCAACAAAGTATGTTTATGAGTATATAATGTGCATTGTTACCCACTCTTGTTCTTTGCTGAAACCCGTATTTTTAATTATTTTTTTTAAAATAAAAAAAAAAGGGTACCGCTATTTCCATCCAC